GACTCTCCTGCGGCAAAGCGACAGAAATGGAACGAAGTGCCCCAACCGTATTCGTACAGATCAGTGGCAAGGTTGTAGTAGCTGCCCACACGGTTAGTTGGACATGTTGTTAGCGTTCGAAGGGCCAACACTCACTGTCTTGTCAAGGTAGCATATTCATCTCTTCGTGCCTTGCGAGTTTCTTCAGTCTCGGTGGCTGCGGATTTGTTGTCCCAGTGTTTAAAGTACTCGTCGACGGCAGCTTTCTGGGCCGCTTTATCTTTGGAGCGCATTGCCATTAAGCCACCAGCAGCATCGGCCGATTTACCATGGAGCGCCTTGTTGAAGGCAGCATCGCGGTCGTGGTCTTCTTTCTCGAGAGCCGGTACCGGGGAGGTAGCAGAGGGAGCCATGTTGAGAGGGCTGTAGGGTATGGGAAGCGCGAACTGGGAGGGAAGTTGGGACAGAACGTCTCTCCGACTCAAATGTACTTTAGAAGAATGAAAGACAAGCGGTCAGTGACACGATCCGGAATCAACGAGCGATGTACCTATGCAGGTGCTGCTATTGGGGTACAAAAAAATATTGGCCGGGTCTGGTCTCCCCGGCGCAATCTCCAATGGCCTGATTCTCAACTGGATCTCTTGGCAGGGGTCGGCCATGCCATTTCCCATCCCCACCGATCTGGAATTGAATCCTTCCGCAGCAGGCCACTCCAGGGAAATCCCACGTGATCTTCGGGTAACCTTCTGCATTATTAGACAGGATGCACGTGAAGAGAAATTGGCAAGGCTGACTTTTCCCCGCCAGTTTAATGTCCAACAACGCATTACCTACCGGGTGCATTTGTCAGGCAAGCGCTACTTCAGCAAAGTACTTTTACTCGAGAACTCGTGTTATTCTTCCTGAAATCAATACAACAAGTATCCGTTATATTCACACTCTTCTGCCTGCAACAAACAACCGCTCGCCACCATGGCGCCACCTCAGATCAAGCAAGACCTGAACCGCTCTGGCTGGGAAACAACCGATTTTCCCTCCAGCTGCGAGAACTGTCTACCCGATAACCCTTATGTCCAGATGCTAAAGGAGGAGTTTGGAGCCGAATGCAAGATATGCACCCGTCCTTTTACTGTCTTCCGCTGGAAAGCCGATCGGACCGCCCGAACAAAGCGAACCAACATCTGTCTCACTTGTGCTCGTTTAAAGAACTGCTGCCAGTGCTGTATGCTCGATTTGTCGTTCGGATTGCCTATCACAGTCAGAGATGCTGCTCTCAAAATGGTCGCACCGGGCCCACAGTCTAGTATTAACCGAGAATACTACGCCCAAGAACACGAGAAAGAACTAGAGGAAGGACGAGGCGCAGTTGAAGCATATGAAAAGACAGATGAGAAAGCCAGAGATCTGTTACGCAGACTGGCGAACAGTGAGCCATATTACAAAAAGCAAAGGCGACTGGAAGCAGAGGGGTCTCAATCTGAAGACCAACGACCGCCACCAAAAGAGCAGAAGCAAGGTGGCTATGGACCTGGCCCCATAAGAACCTCAGATTCCAGAAAATCTGCAAATGCTCATCGTGGTGCCAAGTCAGGACCCAGTGGCGCCAGAGCAGTCACGGTGTCAAGGCCTCCTCAACCCGAAGATTGGCTACCTCCCCCCGACCCTAATATAACCTCGCTCTTTGTCACTGGTGTTGAGGACGATTTACCGGAACATGCGATCCGTACGTTCTTCACGCCGTTTGGCCAGATACGGTCTATTGTCTGTTCCCACCGCGCCCACTGCGCATTCATCAACTATGCCACAAGAGAAGGAGCCGAGGCTGCGGCAGCCCATTGTCAAGGAAAAGCAGCCATCCAGGGATGTCCGCTGCGAGTCAGATGGGGCAAGCCGAAACCACTTGACAATACAGATCGGGATCAGAAAATGAGCTGGGCAAGAGAAGGTCGGGAAACCGCAGCTGCTGTCAAGTCTCAGCAGCCTGGTCAAAGGAGAGTTGCAGCCAACGATAGCCAACCTCAAATCGAGAATGGAGAGGAAGGAAATTCAAGTTTCGCGGTGGCACCTCCACCAGGCCAAGGGGAAGTCACTTATGCCAGTTTGGCCGGTGATTGAGCTGCATTGTGTCTGGGACTTCTTTATTGGTACAGTTTGAGCACGGCGTAATGGTTCAGCATGCGACTGGCAAGCAACGGCAAGGACAAACCACCGACCAGGGTATCATTATATGTACACAGGGATGAATGAAACAAAGCTCTTTTTTTGTTTATACACCGCCAACCTTGACCTTTCCGCCTTTGCCGAGTGGATTCTTGACGGTATCGTTGTCACCTTTCTCTGTGTCCTCGTGTATATTGAGCCCTGCCCATAGGTTAACGTCTTGCTTGCCAACCTGACAATGAGTGCTCACATACGTATGACGTCTGACCCCTCGACCAGCTTGCCCTGCACAATATTGTGTCGTAGCACTGATGCCACGCCCTCAGCATGTGCTATGCCCTTGATCGCCTCCTCTGAGTCAGGATCCATTGTTCTTAGCGTCTCAAAGCCTGTGCGGGCTTGCATTCTGGCTGCATGGAGGAGATGGTAGTCGTCTTGAAATGCGGTCCGTGTCGCTCGCAGGAGGTGTCTGTAGGCCGCGAGTGCCATGTTTGTTTTAGAGAATGAAGTTACCGGTGGATGCAAGGTGAGGTACAGTCTGTAGAGACGATATTCACTTCACATGGACCCAACAGTCGGCGCACTCACATTACTTTCACATTCGCTTCTCCTTCCTAATTTCTCCAACACCAACCCACTCACTCAATTTGACAAGTTAGCCGAATAATTCATTCCACCAATCAGTCAAATGGGTAAGTCGAAGTCCCTCGAAAAAAATAATTCCCTGGCTTCAAGCAATTGATGCTGATTGTGTATATTTCATATAGCGCACACACCGTCCTCCCAAGAGGTACTCGAGTCTATTGCAGAATTCGGAATCGTTCTCCTTGCGGCACAAGAAGCGCTTGCGCGTGTTTCGCTCTTCGAGGACATGACTTCCCACGGCCTCGTGCTTCCTCCAACGGAGAGTTGGAAGGGTGACGGCGATGACAGTCCTAACTTCCGAAGCTTGGGCAAACTATCTCCACCTGTGATGCGCAAGATTGAGCCATTCGGGGCGCAATTCCTTGCTTACGCTCGCCGCAAGCGTCATGGGCGTACTTTCTCCGAGGATCAACGTCTCGAAGCCCTCAAAAAGGTGAAGAAATCCGAGGACGACGATGACGGCGAGATCAGTGAACCAGAAGATCCCTTGATGCTGGCGAGAGATGCGAAGGACTGGAAGGTAAGATTTCTTCGTTGCTCTGACCTCCAGCTTCACTGCTGACTAAAATGTGCAGGGACAAGACCACTACGCCGTCCTCGGCCTCTCCAAATACCGCTACAAAGCCACCGACGAGCAGATCAAGAAGGCGCACCGCAAGAAGGTCCTCAAACATCATCCAGACAAGAAGGCCGCGGCTGGCCAGAGTGACGAGAACGACAGCTTCTTCAAATGCATTCAACGTGCCCACGAGATCCTGACTGACCCAGTCAAACGTCGTCAGTGGGACTCGGTTGACGAAGCCGCCGACGTCGAGCCACCCACCAAGAAAGACATGCAAAAGCCAGGAAACTTCTACAAGAAATGGAACGCCGTGTTCCAGAGCGAAGCCAGGTTCAGTAAGAAGACCCCTGTCCCCATGCTCGGCGACGAGAACAGCACGCGCGAGGAAGTGGAGCAGTTCTACGATTTCTGGTACAACTTCGATAGTTGGCGCACGTTTGAGTATCTGGATGAAGATGTCCCGGATGACAATGAAGGACGAGACCATAAGCGACACATTGAGAAGAAGAACGCGAACGCTCGACGCAAGCGCAAGACCGAGGATACGGCACGTTTGAGGAAGCTTGTGGACGACTGCCTCAGCTACGACGAGAGAATCAAGAAGTTCCGCAAGGCCGCCAGCGCAGACAAGAACAAGAAGCGGTTGGAGAAAGAGGCTGCTGCTAAGCGCGAGGCCGAAGAGAAGCAGCGTGCTAAGGAGGAGGAAGAACGCAAGAAGAAGGAGGAAGAAGAGAAGTTGAAAGCGGACAAGGAAGTGGCCAAGAAGGCGAAAGAGGCAGCTAAGAATGCGGTCAAGAAGAACAAGCGCGTCGTCAAGAGCAGTGTCAAGGACGTGAACTACTTCTCGGAGGGAGAGGCGTCCCCCAAGCAGATCGACGATGTGTTGAACGACGTGGACAAGCTACTCGCCAACGTTGATCCCGACGAGCTGGCTGAGTTGGTCTCCAAACTCAACATTGCCGGAAAGGACGCAGCAAAGGTCAAGGGGGTTTTCTCAGAGACCACGGGTGGCTTGGTTGGTGGCGGGAAGCTCAAGGAGAGCGACCTGAAGGTCTTGAAATGAGGGGGAGTGCATCCACGATTCCAGGTATCCTTTGAAAGGTTTGCAGGGCAATTTTCATCCAGCGCCGGTGGGCAGAGGTGATGACTCGAGGCACCTTCTGCAAGGTTCGTCAGGCAAGTTCTCATCATTCACCAAGCAAATTTCCACGTTCGAATAGCGCGAGCAGAGCTGCATGTTCGAGGCATACTGGATAGATCATAGCGATCGGTTCAAGCAGGCACGGCGATAGCAAGAGGTTCAAGTTATTGGCTAGGGACGCTGTGACAAAACAAGATGATTACAGCAAATGCTCCATCCACCCTCGCGGGATTAATCCCTCCGCACCGAGTGACTTCATCCATCCATCCACTCATAAAACAACAAAGCCAGCCTCTGTTTCTATACATCGGGCCATGGCATTCAAGGGCTGATGAGATGATCCCCGGGATTCCATTGCATCCTGTGAGTGTGACATCGCAGTGCCTGCTTACTTCTCTGCTTGCTTGCTTTCCTTGCTTCCCTGATTCCCTGACCCCCTTGTTGCTTGCTTGCTTAATTGCCTGCTTGCTCATTCGCGTTCCCTCGGTCTCTCTCTACCTGCCCAACCCCTCACGGATTCTGCTGCAACGCCCTAGTCAACAAGTCCGTGTCCAGGTACGCGCGCACCTGGACTATTTTGCCGTGCGCAAACTTGCAGACCCAGCAGTAGCGCATGTCGTAGGGGAGGCCTTGTTGATCCAGCAAATGAAGAGGGGGAGTTAGTTAGTATGACATCACATGATATGCACACACAAACGATCAGACGAGATCATATCCCCAGAGAACAGACAGGTGACAGATCAAAAATACCGAAGAGAACAAGAGACAGGAGGATGAGGAGGAAAACAAAACGGACCATTCTTGCACGTCGCATCCAAAGCCTCCAACTCGACCACCACGTCGCCGTCAATCTCCTCGTCCTTGCCTTCGTCCCCACCCCCCGACGCCGTGGACGAGACGACGATATTCCGCACCTCGAGACGCAGGGGCTCTGTGAGGACGCGCTCGCGAAGCACTTTCAGCGTGTTGTCGAGAAACTCCTGCCGAGAGGTGTAGCGGCGGGACATGGGTGGCGCGTGGCCGCAGATGGTCCAGTCGACATCGTCGGCGAGGAGGGCGAGGGTTTCATGTTGGCGACCTTGGATGGCCAAGGGGGCGAAGAGGCGGGATATCTGGGCTGCAGAAGGGGGTGGCATTCTTGAGAGTTATCGGTAGTGCCTTGTATAGTAGTGGTCGTCGTCGTAGATCCGGTTCTGGCCGTGATGATGGAGGATGATGGTACGAGAGACCTATGATGGTAGAGAGAGAAGACGGCCTTCATCAATTATATCTCCACATCACTCTTCAAAGAAACCTCGGCCACTGTCAAGGCTTATTTGTACCTGTTGCGCGATGCGAGGACTCCGCACCTTTGTCGAGTGGACGTAGCCGATCCCATACTCTGTTTCCCGCACCTCTACCCCAATATTAATCCCAGGGTACCAGATGGGCGTATATGACACAACTCGTCATTACTTTACCCCGGAGCCTAGGGAAGGCCCGAGTAGCGCAATGGACCTTGAATAACTAGTTAGATACTTAGATGTAGGCAGTGTGGACGTTGATAGTGGGTCTGTATGTATCCACTATGTTATGTACCAGCAGAATATCAAACCTTGGCGTCAACGAGGGCTACACATGACCAGAACAGACCCCCTCCAGGAAAAAAAGAATCACATATGATTAATAGTCTCGAAAAAGTAGTCAACAATCGCAAAGACCCCTACTTAAGAAAGAGACTTTTCAGAGTCAACAAACCACACACAAAAAAAAAGAGAGAAAGAGACTTCAGAGTCAACAAACTGTGACGGGACTTGGGTTTAAGTAGGCGATTCCTCCTTCTCCTCCGATCCTCCTCGATTCGATCGATCCTTCGGTTCCTCGAAACTCGGAAACACCAAAAAAAGGGAAAAGTCATCAGGAACCCTGCCACCGGAAGGCGGGGAGGTCAATGGCTCCCAAATAACGGAAAAAACCAGCCACAAGGCGGGTTTCACTTACCATCCACCCCCATATCGAAGGGGTTGGGTGGCAAAGTTTTTGTCATTTGGATCGAAAGGGATGAATGCGAGAGGGCATGAGATGGCCTTTTCGTTTTGGTCGTCACGGAGACTCGAACCCTAGTCGAGTAACTTCACCTCATGGTGTGACCATGTGACCCCGACAGGTGGCGCCAGGCTCGAATATGATACTCACCCCTTGACTGCACGGTCCACATTGAGTGCTATTAAACAGACAGTACCCTCCCTCTCTAATGCAATGCCTCTTCTCTACTGTCCTCCTGTCAGCAGTGCCTTGCGTGACGATGCGAATGCCGGAGATTATGGGGAGACTTTTCAGAATTCATGGGCTTTCCAAGTTGGACTGTGCTACGGCTCTTTCGTTGTGTGCTGGAAGTCCCCATACAGACCGTGAAGAACAAGGATTTGACGCTGTTCGAGAAGGTGTGATGCCCTGACGAACTGCAATGGGTGACCATGGGTATGGAACAAGACAGAGGTCAAATTGATTTGTATTTCGATCTTCCGGCCTCTTTGCTTTCCATTGGAAGTACCTACCTAGCTGTATACACCTTTTCGCCATGTGATGGCAATGATAGACGGTCTGGCGTGCTGCAGCGGCTTTTGGATATGAAAGGCGTATTCGGGACTGAAATGTCCCACAGTGCCATGCTGACAGGAAGAATAGGCAGACAACAAGCGGCGAGGATGGTGCAAGTCTGATGCCGTCTGTATAGCCAGCAACGACGGCCATAAACCCTGCGATTGTTTTGACCCGTTGACGCCGAAGCCGGAACCGAAATGCCTCTGCTAATGTACGTCCCCTATCCGCCATAGGAAGTGAGTGACTGTCAATGTGTTCTTGTGTTTTCAATGGCCCGAGTAAAACGGCGAACCACTTCCTGCAGAACTTGCAGACCGACAAAATTAGGAGAGCGAATCACAATTGTCCACGCCCGGATAAGAGCCGGCATCAGTAGTCACCACTCGCCAGCTGAACTCGCGGACTGATCCGCGCACTGTGTCAATTGTGGTTGCTGGGCATTCGCTGATTTCTCGGGACCTTGAGACGTCTTGGTAGCCCAGTCACCATTTCGCTGGATAGGTTCTTGACATGCCAACACATGGATATCCAGACGAGAGCCATGTGGGTGTAGCCGGACGTGTTGTGATGTGATGGTTTCAAACAAGGGTTCGTTAAAGGGGTCAGCTGTACCGTATACATGCATGCGGAGTTCATGCTCCCAGTCGTACCTCGTACCAGGTCTGATCAAGTAGGGGCTTTATTCAGCGAGCAATTGTGCGCTTCTCAACGAGTCGTCCTGATTCCTGAAGAGGTGGTGCCCCCAATTCCGCCGCCAAGAGTCGGAACTACATCTCCCCTGGTCTCCCCAACCAATCAAATCGCTCGTTCCGCCGGGACACAAGGACAAATAGCGGAGCACGACCGCATTGGGATTGTGAGATCTCATGCTAATTCCGATCTCGAGGACAATAGGGTCCGCTAATTCACAGATGGTTCCAGCAACTAAGTCACCCAACTCACCCCAACTCTCGTCTCAACTTACATAGAGGATGTGTTGCCAATGCAGCCGTGACCCACCCTCTTCGCGCCGGCAAGTTCCATTAAAAACCCTCCCTCTTTTGGCCCTTTTGTCTCCAAGAGGTATAGGATGGCTGATGGGAAAAAGAACCGAGTTCAAGACCATAACACCTCCAATTTCCCACTAAAGGTATGTAGCCGACTTTTTTTAAAAGGCTAATTAAAGTCGAGGATTTCCCCCCCCTCTGACAGTCAGATTCGTTTTTCACCCCACGCCTTCCTCTCAGTAGCGAGTGACCTGGGAGTCAAGGGGCCACATCCCAATAGGCCTTCGTCCTCCAGCACGACACGGTCCAAGATACATTTATCGTGCATCATCATGGCCTGTCGAGCCTTCCTCGTGGTTCACATACTCCGCCGCCTCTGGTACGAGTTCCAGTATCTTGGGCCCGACAGTGTGGTTCTTGGGGTCTGATATGTGTTCAAGAAACGCCGTCGAGAGTGTGGGTTTATTTCTGGTCCGGTCCATGCCGAAACACGCCTTGTTACTGTACGGCCATCTGTTGTATTGCCCGGCCGCTAAGAGCGAGGCGTACGAGTCCCAATGAGAAAGAAGATACTGCTTGACGGGAGGTCTATATATACCCTCGGGTTAGCCCCGTTCATGGCTGTATCGAGACAGATACTCACATGGCACAGATGTCAGCTCCTGCAGCGTGTGGTTGCGTGTATTGCTGCTTCATGGGTCTTAACATCACAGGCAAGTCCTCATATGTTTCTTTGCATGGATGAATGAAATACTGGGTTTCACTAAGTATTCAAAACGAACTTTTCAGAGGACAAACTCAAAAACACACCCGCATTTGGATCCCGGCAACAAAGATCCCGGTCAATTGCACCGTCAATGGCAATGGATACGCTTTCGCCAGCTCGCAGGCCCAGGTCCAGGCAGTGTGGGGGTCGCCTTCTCGTCGCTGCCGCAGGAACAGCTCGAGGTCTGGTCTCTTGGTTCCGATGAGATCATGGACATTGGCATTCCCCTGCAATGCTTTCCGGGCACCATCGCGAAAGCTCAGGATGGTCCTGGACAACATGTCGTCCGACTCGATGTGAAATGGATCGCAACCAAAGATTGGCATGTTGATCTTGTTCAGTTCCACGGTGGTGAGACGTCCTGCCAAGCCAGTCCAAACTCGGTCTCCAGATGCGTGTTGTTGGCCTTGCGGTATACCTGCAGAGGTATAGGATTCTCCAGCGGAAGGAAGGACCGTCTCCTCACTCGGCTCAGTTGCTGGAAGCCGCTTCTCAGGTTTCCCGCGCCACACTCCAACGGCATGCTCCACAGCCTTGCCTTTCCCGCTCACTGACCTGGTGGACCTGACAGGATCTGACCCGGGGCTGTCAGATTTGTCTGACGTTGTTTGACCGGACGAATCTTCCAAGGAGGTGTCGCTCGAAGAATTTCCCCCCGTCTGAGGCAAAGGAGCTTCTGGCGGGTTACCCAAGAGAACACTCGCTATCTCCTGGAAGGTGGCACCCTCTCTGACCGCCTGGATGGCCTCGTCGGCGTCCGAATTCCGGATCAGGTGCAAGAGTCGGTCAAGGACGGCCTGTTGTTGGCGTAGTTTCTCGACGTGCTGGACCGAGTTCCGGTTGCGTCTCAGGTCGCCATATTTGGAGTCCATGTCGTAAGTGCACCTCCGTCCAGTATGGATGCAAGATGCACAGGGTCGGAGCGCGTTACACTAGAGCCGTTTTTACATTCAGCTGGACGTTGCTTTCCCCCCGTCACCTCTGCAGATTTGCTCCTGGGCTCAGATTGCTGCCGAGAATCAGGAAAGCTTACCTTTCTCCTCCTCTTTCGACATTGGTCACAAGCCCGGCTGACGTTCTTCCTGGCCTTGTTGGAGGAAGTGCCATCCTCGGTGGTTGCCGCCTCGTCGACGGTGCTGGCCAGAGCCGCTGCGGCGGCCTCGGCGTTAGGGTCTTTTGGTTGAAGGGTCCGCATTGAAGAATAGGCCTTCATCCTCGCTGATGGAGTGGAAGAGTGCTCTTCCTTCCCTCGCAGCCGACCGCAGCCAAACTTCTGCTCGCTTGCTCGACTGCCGCTAATCCTCTTACGTCAACTTTTTTTGAAAAATGAAGTGCGCCCAGCGGTCGAGCTCGTCGGTGTGCATCGTGCTGGGTCCGGTTGGTCCGCTGATGGACGGCAAAAATGGCGGGCCCTGGAGCCAATAAACAGCCCTTGGACCCCCAACTCCCCCTTCGGTTCGAATAGCCGCATCTGCTGGTTCAACAGCGTGTCTAGGGGACGCTGACCCTTCAAGACACTTGTGAACACGGAGAACTCGACAGGTCTGTCATTTGGAGTCAATACTGCATCAATTGAGCCTTGATGAGGTGAAGTGATAAAAACAGGTTAAGGATGAAATTTCGACTTATGAGGATGCAAGTGATACGGGAAATCGTTCAGAGCCTTCACATATCGATTGAAGCAAGGACGAATTCGACATAATGATAACCCAACTATAAAGACGTTACCTTTCTGTCTTCTCCTACATGCTGGACTTCCCTTGAATATCCTCACAACTCGTATGAGGTCAAATTTTTAAAA